ATTGTATATTTCTGCTGATTATTATTAATTTCAGCTGATTTTAATTGATTTTAGCATTGTATTTTTAGTTGATGTTATTCTGTCATCTAGTATGAAACTACAGTTGAATATGCAGAGAGAGAGAATTATAATGAAAGTGCTCATCACAAAGACAAAGAACTTAACATCTAAAGTAAAAAAAAGATGTATAATGAGTAAAAAATGTAATTTGCATCACACACAAATCTTGAAAGAATTAGCATCACATGATTCAGCTCACTCTGCCATTACTGTGTACACACATGATTAGTCTTTTAACAACAATCTTTTCAGATAAGCAACTGAAGTAATTCTGCTATTTTGAAAAGAAGTTAATTAAAACTCTGCTTCTACAGCTCTCAATACATACTGGTATTATAAAGAAATTAAAAAGTTTATGATGATCATCATACTGAGTCATGTTACAACACATTGCAATATCAGTTGAAAAGACAGAAGCTCAGCGAGTCAGTATCAGTGTATTGAGATAATCTGTCAAAGATTTGATTAACTAAAGACACATTAAAAGAGTTGAACTGAAGAAACAGTTATCTGAGATCATCTCAGATATGTCATAGACCTGTCACTTGATAATTTTATACAGAGAAGAAGCATTGTGAATCTTTTCAATTTACTTCTGACTTTCTCTGCAATTGTGCACCTGCTTCTCTGAAATAGATAGAGAGTCTTTCAAGACTGAAAGGTTCTGACTTGTCTGATCTTAGAATGTATATGATGACAAATTCTAGACTGACACAGTGCTAATAATTTGAACCTCAATTCTGAACCTGAAAGCCTCAATCAATCAATGAACAAATTCAATTCTCATAATAGAAAGCAGTGTGTGAGATCTTCTTCATCATCAACTGTAGATATCAAGAACACTACAAAGATTATAAGTATCATGGCCTATAATTGTAACTTTCAGCAGAATCTAATTAATCATGATATTTACTCTGATGAGTATGAATATTCTGATAATTGAATATCAGCAATGCTAAATAACTGAGAGAAGATCAAAGAAAGATTATCTTGACCTCTTCAAAGTTCTCTAATGAGCATTTCCGAAAATTTAAAAGAGTGAATACATACACATCTAAAGAACAATCAGTCACAATGTCAGTGATTACTATTATTGAAGATGATGTCAGTGATCTTAAATGCACTGAAGAAGAATACTTATTTGAAAATCTTACTCTCTTAACTGACAGTACACTGACTCAGGTCAAATCAGATCACTTCTATGATGCATATTCTAAGCAGCTTGATTGTCAAATCTGCAAAGAGCTTAGTAATTATATTATATCATTAACACAGTGTGATCTTCTAATGCTAGCAAACTTCTTTTTAAAAGTAAAAGATTTCAATGAATTCTTGACTATGACTACACAGCAGTCTTATTATAATGATGTACTAGAAGCTTGAGACATACACTCTCTCTAATCATATCAATAAGATGAATCAGTCTATAATAAACAGATACAGAAATGCAGCTAGAGTATACAAGCTTTATAATAATCTTTCCAAGCTATTTTTAGATTATAGCTTCACAGTGTTGTAGATATGCTAATTATAGACATAGACACTCAGAATTATAGAATCAAGTTACTCAATCTAACTATTAATGTTATCTCTGACTGCTTTAATTATAGTAGAGCATTCATATCTGTAAGAAATTGTCTCAGAATGTCACTTAAATTGTTCTTCTTAATTTAATACATCTTTGTCACAAGCTCATATTTCACCTGTTTCACATTATTCTGCAGCACCAGCTAGACTGACCGCTGAAACCATGAATTTCACATTTGGTCTCATTTGATCTGGTCTCATACATTTCTTGGCGTGAATCCCGCTGGGACTGGCTATCAAAAAAACATGTAAAGTGACTATATATCAGATCTTAAAATGAAACCATAACTTGAAAAAAATGAGAAAGTGGTCTCATTTGGTCTCATTTAGTCTCATTCTTGACATAAAGTTACTATTTTTAGACATTTTAAGGTTTTTTTTAGACTATTTTTAATTTTTTAAAAAGTAACACTTTTTGGTAACACTCAAATGAGATTTAAAGTCATTTAAAGCAATAAAAATAATTTAAATTGAGAAGTGAAAATCATGATCTCATTTGGAAAATGTGACAAGAGTAGACAGTAAGTCTCACTGAGACAGTATGAGACTACTATCTAATGTTAAAACCGTGTAATGAGATCAGTTGAATTGATAATAAAACTATCAAAAAATCTGATCCTGGTCTCAGACACGGTCACACGGTCAGTCTAGCACCAGCCAGCATGCAATGAGTAAGTCTTCAACCTCTTAATCAATGCAAACAGCAATGTCTGAGAAAACATTCAAATCACTTTCTCTGTCACATCCCTGCGTGGTAAATGAGCCCTCATATATGTTCTATCACATAAAATAGAACGGCGTTAGTGTGAGATATTAAGTCTTGATTATGTTCTCATCAATATGAATCTTGTCAGATGAGTTATGAGATGATCTTGTGTTATATCAGAGATACAATGTTTATCAGTCTGAAAACAATTAATAATGATATTAATACTCTCTTCTTTATAGCTTCACTCTGTGTCTCTGATCAATCTCTGTGAAAATATCAACAGTGCTATTGATATCACTGCAGTTAACAACTATCAGTTACAGTTTATATGCAGTTTCTAGAAAAAGATATTCTTCACTTAAACATTTTCATGAAATAAACAGTTTTATCAGTCATGTGATCACATGTGTACATTTCCACAGAAATGTCTTTAGAAAGATTATCAATTTTAGCAGATATAATGTAACAGAATGATATGTATAAGAGCTTTTAAAGTGTTCTGAATTTGAGTGAGCTTTGCTGACACTGTTACTCTTTGAATTCTGTGAGAGCTTGCTTTCCTGATCTTTAACAGAAGATGAGTTCAATGACAGACTGAGATCAGACAGTTGAATGAATCAGAAATCAACTGCTGTCTATCTCTGATATATAAATATCTGTAAAGACTGTAGTGAAGTTATCATAGCTGAGATTATTGAACAGACTAAACTGAAGTTTGATTATCAGTCTCATCATTTTTGATAGCTATCAAGATATACTTATATAATCAAACTCAACTACTCTGCATAGTTAGTATTAATGCACTTGTTTTCAGCAGATCAAGTAAACTTAAATTCAAAAACATATTTATCTCATCAAGAGATTAAGTCTTAGTTTCAATGAATAACTTCTCTCTTTAAACTCTGATTTCTTAAATATGTCATAGTGATCTTTCAGAGAAATAAAAAGAGCTTATAATTAGTGTGTTACTACACAGTGATAAAATAAATCTCAAGAGAATTCTTCAAATCTGAAGAATAATCAATTCACTTCAGAGTATTGATCAGAAAGTTCTATGACTCAAGAATAAGTCAGTATCTATAGAATATCAGCACATGTTGAATCATGCAGTGAAATTTAAGAAGCTTGAAATTATTAAAAATCAGGTTGCTGAGCTAGCTGAAGCTGCTATCACTGTCAGATATCTTAATAATATGCAAGATTATAGACAGTCTGATTGATCAATCTTCACTCTTTCATTTTATGAAAAACTCATCACAGTGATGATATCAGTTGATTCTAATAAATTTGTGATCAGTATAAATAGAAGTTATCTTAATAGATGTTTGAAGAAAAATAATATCAGATAAGATAAACTGATGAATCTCACTAGTTAACCTGAGATCAAAGAGTAAGTCATTTGAAGATAATTTTTCTTTATCAGTATATTATACTTACTTAATTTCAGTTGACTGTGTTGTGACTGCAATAGTCAAAACAGAGATACATTATATTATAATTATTATCACAAGTACTATATAAACTGCTTGAACACTACAGATTTCTCTTTCTCAGATTCAGAAATAAATATCTTGTTTCATAAATAATTCACATAGTGATATCTGAGATTAATTATGAGAAGCTAAATAATCAGAGAGAATGAAGAAGATGTGACTTGATTTTTCAGTCTTATTACTGTCATTGTAATGAATGTACAGTTGTATGTGAATACATGACTTGAATGTAAATAACTACTTCTCTCTGAACTCTCTTTCTCTCACTATCTTAGTATTTTATTAAAATAGCTTATCTAGTTGATAATGAGATATCTTTCTTTCTGTATCTAGATTTGAAGCTCTAGCAATAACTTTGTAGTACTAAAATATCAGATGAAATAATAAATATCTATTAGAATTACAGATGTAATCTCTGATACTATTATCTATATCTTTTTTCCTAGATTATCAGATATATTACTCTAAGAAATTATGAGATAAGTATTGAACTGATCTGCTCTAAGTCTTGATATAAAGTTGTACAGCTATAGTTTAATATAAATAAGACTCAAATTGTCTATATTATATAATTTATCTATTATCTCTAGATAACTTTTGCTGAGGCTATAAAGCTCACTTAACTTAATTAACTGTCATTCTTATCTAAAAATGACAGAGACTGTGAAACATGAAAACATACTTCATAAGAAATCTCATCAATGATAAATCAGATTCTTTTTAGATAATTTAGTATTTATATATTATAAACATTACAAGACTCTAGAACTGCATTCATTTTATATATCAGAGTATATATTAGAGCTTTTCTTAACACTCTAAATAATATATCAGAAATCACAGATGAAAGAATTATCTTCTTTCAAAGTTTCTGAAAACATTCATTCTCATTAATTTAACTGAACAGAAATAATATAATATGTTGTGAAATTTCTTATATTATTGATCTTACTGCTTTAATTTAATGATATGTTTAAGTAGATAAATTAAATAAATTCAATAATATCACTCACTTCAGTGTTATACAGCTTGAAGATTCTCAGTATTTAATGTAATTTGAAAAGAATCAGCTGACACAATAAGTCTATGTCATATTTGTCAGCCAGTACATAGAGTCAGACCTGTTTAAGAAACACAGAGATGAAGTTCTTTCAGAGTCTGGTATTTTCAGATAATGTGAAAGTACAGCCTAAGTTCTTACTTTGCAGACTCAGAACAATGAGACTCTCTACAAACTCATAATACAAATATTCACTCCAGATACTTCTCTTCTTGTATGGAATTTCTGGATCATTGCAGGCGTCGTCTTCGGATGAAGATTCTAATTCAGAAGGTTCATCTGAAATGGCCTTCAATTCAGGCTCAAGCTCGGACTCAGACTCAGACTCGGACTCAGGTATAGGCTCCGGAGGTTCGTCCTAGTTCACATTCAAGCAACAGTTATTGCATTTCTTCTTTTCCTTCGCGGTTTCTGTGACCTTATGACGGGGGTGTGTAGTTTTGAAAATACACATATTCACATAACCGAGCGAATGTGTCTATATCAACCTCTAACCAGACAGCATGTCCAGTTTTTGCCTCTTTCATTTCACTGTTTATAAGAGTATTCAGGCTTTGAGAAAGCCTTGCCAATGCAGAAGAATGCACAGCTACTTTATTCTTATTAGCCTCAATAGTGAAGATGAATAAGGGTGAAGAAAGATATCTAAGAGTGTTAGACTCTGACCATGTCAAGATTGCCACAGATCACTCACCTCTCAAAGGCGCCCTTCATCTGAAATGATGATAACCAGAGCCAAAATCGCCGTTTCATGTAAGAGGAGTGGTGGATATGATCAGCATTTGCAAGATAGTGTTCGTGCTTAAATCATTTCATCCCACACTATGTGTCTTGATATGATTGGTTGAACTGCCGACGCAGATCAGGCACAGGAACATTTGTTGGAAATATCCAAGGAGGCTCTGCGCCGCTAAGAGAATGATTTACCAAGTTCAGCATGACGCTTCCAGTTGCAGTTTATATATTTTCCTTTGCTTCAGAGACCTACACAGCACACAGCCTTTGCTGGAGTTTCTCAAGTTTCTTTGACTGTGTACTGTACACACTCTCTTTTCTCTCTCTGCTCTTTGATCTTGTCTGCTCTGTCATCTTGTAGTCTCCCGCTCTTCACATCTGCCCCACATAATACTTTGTGAACCTTTACTTCTTGTAACTTGGGTGGCTGTCTGGTCCTTTTGTCCTGGTTTTCTTGTGAAGGGCCTTTGTGTTTCCATGCAGCACGGGTTTTCTGTTGATTACATTTCAGGTGAGTCAACAATTTTTCATGAATTAACAAAGAATACACGCCTTCACACGCCTTCGCACGCATTTGAAACAATTGGAGACTTACACCATTGATTGCTACAATTCAATTGAATTAAACTATGTGAGTCCATACCAACCACACCAGATCACCGGATCACCGGATCATCAAATTCATTTGTATTCAGCCAAGTTCCTGAGAAAAAACTTACAGAAGAACTGTATAAATAAAATGATTATCTTAAGTTGATGTGCGACTCAGTTAGCTCGGCTTGAGATATTTTTAGACACATGAAGTTACTTAATTCAAGTGAGAGTTCTCAAGTCCCCATGTTTCACAAAGTTATTCTCTTGTATTGAATCTGAGATATATAAGCCTTTTTAGCTGTATAGACAGTACACATGGATTTTTTCACAGCTAGTGAATATTGTGAAGTTTGGTCATTGAGAAGTATATATTTAAAAAGCCTCTTCTGTGACAAGTTTCCTCTTGAAAATATCCTCTTGTGAGGAAATAGCTCATGTGAGTAATTGCCTAGGTCGCTTTCCCACACATGAGCTCCCTGCCCCAAGAGCGCCTTCTCAGAGCAATATGCCTCACAGTACCACTGTAGTAAGCTTGTCTGTATCTCAAAATACGCTTTCTGTCACCTTTTAGAGGGATATGCAATAAATTACGGGAGGGAGAATGCTCTTCTTCTTCATAAGAAACACCACGAGCATATGAATACATCAATCAACTATCTAGAGAAACCCACCAATCATCTCCATCAAAATAATTAGTCATGGTGAGAGATTGTCAGTGATAGATAACAGAGTCATATCTTGCATATTCTGATGTTGACTGTAGAGCATTCTGTTTTGATAAAATAAAAGAGCATGCTTTCTGACATGTGAAGAGCCACAGATTCAGATTGCAAATCATGACTATGAATTTGAATTACAAGACTGAGTTGAACAATCAGTCAGAATGATAAGAGCTATGATTTCAGATTATAAATTGTGGCTCAAGTCTGCAAGTGCTGCAGCATAACAACTGATTGCTTGAAATAATGTTTGACAGAAGTACACACTTTTAAAAAGTGTCTATAAAGACTACTCTATTTCTAGACAACACTTACTCATAGCTATAAATTGAGATCATTTTTCATAGTGTTAAGTGATAATTATCAAGTCTCAGATTCTTTATCTTCTCTGAAATCAAATTCTATATTATGCAATCATCAAACTCAAAGTATGTCAAGAAGTCATGAACTGAGTGCAGTAGCCTCATACAGATATATTATTAATAGAAAGACATACTTCAGTATATACTGTGTAGTTACTTCAATGACTGTCACTGTAAAGATGTCTATCTTCTCATTTATAAAAATAATCAGTACTTTACAATTAATTTTAATAAGTCTGATGCTTTGAGCAGTCACTTTTCATCATCAGACAAAGATATAGTGAGTGTTATATCTCATACAGTCTTAGAAAGACATACTCTTACAGAAACAGAAGAAGTATTATTCTTCTTCATTCTGAATAACATGTAAGAACTACATGAAATATCTAAAGTTCAGAGAGAAGAAGAAAGAAGAAAAGAAGAGAAAATAAGAAAAACTTAAGAATAAGAGTGAATAGTTAGATGAAAAATTTTGTTTATTGTAAATTATAATGAATTTGATAAAATTACTAAGCAGAGTTTTTATCTATTTTGAAATGTAAACTTAACTAGTCACTGTACTTATTTATGCATATCATGATACAGCTGCTGAATCTATGATCTATTCACTTATAAAATTAAATCATTATATACTCAAATCTATGACATCTGCTCAACTAGAAATCATGACTTCTCAAGAACTAATAGAAAGTTTCAAGTATTCTAGTCTTTCAGTAAAAGTTAATGTCTCTCAAGAATCTTCATTCTTTATAATCTTTCACTTAAAAAATATAGTATTCATCAAGAGCTTCATTTCTGTGACTTTTCATTCAGTATTTTAACATACTCAATGAGTGCTGACTCTTTAAGAATCTTTATTTTTACAGTCTTTTCACTGAAGTTATAACATCTCTCAAAGAACTTTACTATGATGACTCTTTCACTCAAATTGCAGCATCTCTTAAGAGTTTATCTTCTCTAAGAATGCTGACACTGTATGAAGCTTTATCTTTTATAATCTTTTTATTCAAAGTTGTGATAATCTTTGAGAAATTGTCTCTCTCAAGAGTGCTGACACTGCATGAGCTCTGTCTTCATGACTTTTTTATTTAAAATTGTAATATCTCTTAAAAGTTCATATTCTCTAAGAGTGCTGACACTGTATAAGGCTTTATCTTTGTGATCTTTTTATTCAAAGTTGTAATAGTCTTTGAGAAGTTGCCTTTCTCAAGAGTGCTGACACTGCAAGAGACTCTGTCTTTCATCACTCACTTTACTGACTCTGTGAGAGAACTCACAGCTTTGATGAATCAGTATCACTTATCTAGTTTCATAGAGAAAGTCTTTGAAGATTATCATTTTATTGACTTTATAAGAGAAATCACTGCTTCAGTGAAAATCTACTCTCTGTAATCTCTGAGAGATGTTATCAGATTTTATCAAAAGCTGTGATAATCTCTATATTCTCAAAGTATAGAATAGAAATTACTATATCTTAATTTTTATGAATCTTCAGAGAATAAAGAGTGTTTTCTAGAAATATTAACTCTCTAGTGATTTCTCAGAATTCTGAAAACTTATCAGCACTCAACACTCATCTCTCTAAGATATAGTATTCAGATTTATTTGAGAGTTTCATTCTCTTTCAATAGAGTCTGATATATTGAGATGTGAAGAGATGCATTAACAAGTGATTAGTGCAGTGAAGAGTATAATTATATTCTTATATTCTGATATTATGCAGAGAAAATCAACTAAATTGTAATATCAAATATGTAGAAAGTAAGATTAAGAATAGTTGATTAATTAATAAAGCTTGATAAATGTTTATCTAAGTGAGAGTTAGGAATTTCTCTTACAGGCTAGTGTTCTGTACAATGCATAGATCTCTTTGTTTATCATGTGACAGTGTGAAGGCAGTCAGCCTGCAGAGAAGTCTCTGACATGTCTGAGAAGCTTCTGAGAGCATTCAACAAATGAGTGATTTGATCAGCATAATTAACAAGCAAACAACTCATTTTCTACCAATCGCGTGTTGATGGTTGAGGATGTAATGTGTTCAGATGTTTCATTCGTTGTTTCTCCTCCTTCTTCCTTCTTTGTTTCTCCTCCTGCTTCCGCAGCTTGAGCCTCGCATTGACGGGAAGCGATCGGTCCGGGAGATATGTCTCTACTTTCCATTACGTGCCAGCCCCTTGTCCCTTGCTTATCGACTGGAGCAAAGGGTTCAGCAGTTTGCTGATTCAACTTCCTGGCGCATCAGAAGGGTTGAGAGGAGACTTGACTGGTTCTAGTGCTGATTCAGTGTGAGATTGTTTCTTTCTGGCGCCCACCTCACTGCACCCTTTGAACAGAAGCTAGCATGAATGATAGAAGCAGAGCACAAGCTGCATTTTGAATTTTGCTTCATCTTGCTCTTATGTACAAAGCCCTCATGGAATTTCCAAGCTGTACTCATGGGTATGTGTATCGCAAAACCATAAGTCTCAATGCAGGTTACATCTCAGATCTTGTTGTGTTGAGTCTTTTCATTTAAAGTGATTGAAAACAAGATGTCTATGAGCTTGATACAGTACAGAGATGAAGCCAGATGCACTTTTACACTGGTTTCAGCACAGATAATTAGCATTGGCAGCTTAGTCTCTTCATTACATGCCAGCTCCTTGTCCCTTGTCCCTTGTACCCCGGCCTTATTGACTGGAGAAAAGGGTCTGGCAGTTTGTCAGTTTGACTTCCTGGCGCGTCACCGGGGAGAGAGAGGGAGAGGGGGAGAACTTGACTGATTCAAGTGCTGATTTGATGTAGTATTGTTCCTTTCACCTGGTTAATACTAACTGAATAAGAGTCTAAGTTTGCTTAATTCAACACCTATCTCACTGTGCTCTCTGACAAGAAGCACTGACATGCAGTTGTGTCTTGAATCTTGCTTTGTGTTAAGTGTTTTTATTAAGAGTTATTGAAAATAAGATGTCCATGCGCTCAATATAGTATGAGAGTGAAGTCAGAAGCAGTTCTTACTTCTCAATACTATGTTATTCACAGCTGAAACTGTGTTTTATAATAACTGCAGGAATTTGCTCTTCATTGCATCTCTCATTTCTTCTCAGCCTGTAAGTCAACAGTCTCAGTCATCTGAAAGTTCAGAAAATGACTTTGACAGAATTGTGAAGAAGATCTTATTGAATGACAGAGTCAAGCTTCTGACAGAAGCTGAAGAAATATTAATAAGCATGCTATCATTCTCTTCTGAATTGAATCAGAGTAGTTTTTCTAGCAACTGTCTTGATATGTCTGTCAAGACAGATACAGCTGTGAAAAGTACTTC